GCTCAAAATAATCCCCTAAAAGTCCCAATAATTTTGTCCTATAAAATTCTGAAATGGAAGAAGGGCCACCTTGCACCTCTTGCTGGCCCCGGGTCTCCCAGGACCTCATACAAGTGACACTCAGCTATATAGGACAGCGATTTACTCTATGAATCACCAAGGACAAAAAGAATAAACAACCATTTTCCATAAAGGACAACGAAAGAGTTGATAAGTGGCAAAAAAAAAAAAAAAAAAAAAAAAGAAAGCAAGATTGATGCGTTTCTAGTAAATACCAGTCACTATGCAGTGACCATTTCACTCCTGACTCTCTTGACATCAGACGGGGGATTTGATATTTAAAACAAAGTATCTTTCCAACAACTTTTTCCTTTGCCTGAAGACAATCACGGAAAAGACCCTTCTTAAAAAACAAACAAACAAACCCAGAAGAAAAAATTGGAAGATGAGAAAAAAGTATGACTAAAAGTCAAATCAGAAAAATCACTTGTATTAAATGAGGCAAAGTAAAATACAGTTAACACAGATGTGCTCCCTGAACATGCAATTACTTGATTCATCTGCCTTGGTAAAGTCACCAGCTTCCAAAACCAAGAAGTATACAAAATATATGTTAACTCTTTTCTTTTTGAGACAGAGTCTTACTCTGTTGCCCAGGCTGGAGTGCAGTAGCGCAATCTTGGCTCACTGCAACCTCTGCCTCCCAGGTTCAAGTCAAAATACATGTTAACTCTTAAACTAATTAAACAAGATTAACTAGGAAACTCTTAAACTAGTTAAACAAGATTAACTAGGAAACCAGAATCTATCTTGAAAACATCAGTTAACTAAAATAGGGATATAGGTGGTTTTCACACATCTTTTGAATATCTAAATTCTACAACTATTACTTTGAAAACTTCAAATTCAGAGGGTATTCAACAGTCTTTGGAAACCCAAGAAGTGCTTGAAATAACTACCAATTATCTTGCTAATCCAAACTTTACAAATATTCCATGAAAATCAGGTCAGCACAGGATAATTCATTCTTATTTAGCACAATTAATCAAACAGTTGAAGAATTAAACACAAATAAATAATCTATTATTGCCAGTTTTCTAAACCTATAGTTAATTCTTTTATATCTGCCCAAAAAGAAACTAGGGAAATGGAAGACACAGACACTGACGACTCCTTATATAAGGATGTAAACTATGGAACACTCTTTTTTTTTTTTTTAAGAGACAGGATCTTGCTCTGCCACACAGGCTAGAGTACAGTAGTACCATCATAGCTCACGTTAGTAACCTTGAACTCCTGGGCTCAAGTGATCCTCCTGCCTCAGCCTCCTGAGTACCCAGGACTATAAGCATATCACCATGTCCAGCTAATCTGCAACTTTTTGTAGAGACTGGGTCTTGCTATGTTGCCCAGGCTGGTCTTGAACTCCTGGTCTCAAGTGATCCTCCTGTTTCAGCCTCCCAAAGTGCTAGGATTACATACATGAGCCACTGCGCTCGAACACAAATTGAACATTCCTATTGCAGACAAGACACAAATAAAGGACATTTTTGGCAGAAAGTCTCTAAGCTACATTCGAAGATAACTCTTCTTGACCTACAAACAATAAACTATAGGTAGACTGAAGTCTTTGGAAGCTCTTATAAGACAGCCAAAGCAGGAAAACTGCCTATCTGAAGAAAATGTCAGATGATAAAAAACCGTTTTACAACAGAGGATGTCACTATGATATAGCGTAAAAAGGCTTTAAAGCTATGACTGTTTTATAAGCTTTTTCCAGCCAAATCAAACTTTATATAAAGGGAACTTTTTCCTGTATAAAGTTCTGATCTTAAGGAACTACGAGAGTGCTCCAATGTTATGAACTGTATCCTGTTCTTATAATGCTCATTTTTAGAAAAACTAGAGAGTTGTGCTAAAGAGAAACAGTTTTATAAGTTGATAATTTTCCAAATTAAAGTTAAAATTTAGTGAATAAATGATATGATTCGGTCATAACATGAAAGAACAAGGGCATGTTCAAAAGAACCTGAAACAGAAGTCAGGTTCAGCAATCAGTCCTGGTTTCACCACTGGCATATATGGCTTGGGCAAGTTACCTATCAAGACTGAACCTCAGTCTCTAATCTATAAAATAGGAATATTTACTAGATCTCTAATAGTCTATTTCTTTACAGTTCCTTCCCTTTTTCTTAAAATAATTTTGTTAGGACAGGTTTTCTCTAAGATTACTTTCATAATACTAGAAGTTGGCTAGAATTTGATAATAACTATTCCATTATCCTCAATATTTATTGAATTCTGTGCTGTCTGACCTTTTGGCTATAGTTATATATCTGTTACATAAAGGAAAATACACCTTTTATAGTTTTATTCCAGTTGAACCAAATTAAAGAACTGCCCCTTAGCCCAGTTCTCAGGTGAGATACTTCAAACTTGAAAGAATATGTGTATTGGTACTTCATATGTCACTGACCATCATAATACACAGTCATTTAAGCTTCTTAACATACTGTAGTTATACAGCTACATTTACAAACCAAAAATTTTAATGAGGCTAATTTTAAATATATTTAAGTATATTTTAGAAATCACAGTTGATATCTTTTTTTTTTGTGACAGTACAGTGATTTATTGGAAGGGTTTCCAGCATATACCCAAGAAAAGGCAGTGTGAGCGTACTCAGAGAGACGTGCCCTTAGTATCTACTTCTTAATAGGTGTAACCTTTAAAGCATGTGCCTGCCTCATCTGTAAACTGCAGAATACCGAATACTGTACATTCCCACTTATGTAAATTTTATTAAAATTAATAAGCAAGAAATTACAGATAAGTGGTGATAACCTTAGGGAGATAAAGGTCTTCTATTAAGGAAGAGAAATGATGGTGATATAAATAAAAATACTGTTTATATCCACACAAATTTGAAAAATGTAAAAGTAGAGACTTTGTGGCAACAATAAAAATGTGAAAATATGTTTCCTTAGAATTGGCAGTCAACATAATTAAGTATGTTAATGCCTATGATGGATGCTGTGCAAGTTGCTATTAGTCCGATTCTTATTCTTTTCGTCTGTTAAAAAGAAAATACTGGCCAGGTGTGGTGGCTCATGCCTGTAATCCCAGCACTTCGGGAGGCCAAGGAGAAAGGATCACTTGAGGCCAGGAGTTCAAGATCAGCCTGGGCAACACAGCAAGACTATCTTTACAAAAAATTAAAAATTAGCTGGGCACAGTAGTGTGCCCATAGTCCTGGCTACTCAGGAGGCTTAGGCAGGAGGATCACTTGAGCTTGGGAGACAGAAGCTGCTGTGAGTCATGACTGTACCTCTGCACTCCAGCCTGGTGACAGAGCAAGACCCTGTGTCAAAAAGAAAAAAAAAAAAAAGAAAATACTATTATTATCTATCTATCTTACCTGTCTTAAAATATTATTATCTATTTTATGGCATAGTTTTGAGAATTCCGTAAGGTAACAAAAAAGTTTTTGGTCCTGGAAATTAGGAGGTGCTCAATAAATATCAGTTGATGCTCAACAGTAAATAATGCACTAATTGTTGTAAATGCATGATGATTCTTTTTTGCTTATATTTCACTTAGTTTCTGCAGGCTATTAAAATTAATTGGTATGTAAAATAAAATTCTGAAATGAATACTCTAATTCAGGGACTAGCAAACTATTACCTGCAGAGCCAAATCTGGGTGTTTGGTAAATGAAATTTGTTTACATACTGTCTATGGCTCTTTTCACATGATAAAATCAAAGATTAGAAGTTGTTATTAAGACAGCATGGCCCAAAAAAGCTAAAATATTTACTATCTGGCCTTCTAGAGAAAGATTTTCAACCTCTGCTCTAATTCCGCCAGCCTCAAAATACAACAGGAAAGAGTCTTAAGAGAAATCACTTTTTTTTCACAATTTGCAAGGCCTTCATTTTTTAAAAAGAAATCCTAACAAGTCTCACATTTACGGAATCAGCATTTTTGGTCACTTCAACAAACCAAAAGGTCTTTTCAGATTTACCATTGTGAAAACTGTACTTCCCCACAAGCTCCTAAATCTACTATGCTGAACTAATTTTACAAACTTCTCAAAAAAAAAAAAAAAAGAACTTTAAGCTGAATCAACAAACATATACCCTTAGTCCCAAGGTAATTTTCTGAAAGAAGTTAGCCTTAAAAGTAGGGCCTAAACAATATGCCTTTACATTAAAATGTATCCTTCTATTAATAGATAAATTTAAATAAGACAATATAATTTCTGCCTATGTTTGTAGAAGTATATAATCATTTCTTATATGAAATATTTTTATTGTTAGCTTCAATAGACTTATAACCCTAAGCTAAATATACCTGAATAAGTGATCAACATTCAAAAAAGCAAAATCAAATATCCAATTTATGTTTTTAAATAAAAATGGGGTTACTCACTGAGGTAAAGGGTAAGGATCCTTTACTTCTCAGCCCTTGACACCCTTTCAGGTGGTAGATTAGCTTTCTATAGTCTGAATATGGTGGAAAAAATCTGTACATTAGAAGGATAACAAGAGCTTGTCCATTTTCCTTTCTCAGATGTTAGTGCTTTCTCCCTTGATGAAATAAATTGTTCTAAAGTAGGAACGAGAACAAGGACTTTGAGACATGATGCAAAAAAAAAAAAAAAAAGACCCCACACACAAAAAAAGGTAAGCTATTCATAAAATGTAGGCTCTAAAAGAAATTCTAGTGCTAAAATATAACCCTAAACATCATACCTGTGAGGATGGCTCCCTCAACTGCTGCTCTACTCCCTTCATCAACAGGTAATCCATTCATTCCAAGTTTAAAGGGAAAAAATTTGAGTATCTATCATCTTTTCAAATCAGATATCATATGTCCTGCTCAGAAAATTTCTATATAGAAAAATAACAAACTTCCCGACTGTCCTTCAAAAGGACCAGACAACACTTTACCCATAAGCCAGTAGCCGGAAAAACCTGTCATACCCCGAAGATACAAACCTCCCGTCGAACGACACTTGCAGTTCTCTCCATGTGATCAGTTTTCCTTTTGGATTTCATTATGCTTTAACAGAAAGTAAAATTAAGTTATTACATATTATCTTCACAAAAATAATAAAATTAGTTTTTCCTGAAATATCATGGTTATCCTAAATACAGTGTAACACTATGGATCCTATAAAGTGGCCAGTGAGTATTTGCCCATCTAACTGAAGTTTTGGCCGGGCATGGTGGTTCACGCCTGTAATCCCAGCACTTTGGGAGGGTGAGGCAGGCAGATCATCTGAGGTCAGGAGTACGAGACCAGCCTGACCAACATGGCGAAACCCTGTCTCTACCAAAAACACAAAAATTAGCCAGGTGTCGTGGTGCCCGCCTGTAATCCCAGCTACTCGGGAGGCTAAGACGGGAGAATCGCTTCAATCCAGTAGGTGGAGGTTGCAGTGAGCTGAGATCACGCAACTGCACTCCAGCCTGGGTGACAGAGCAAGATTCCATCTCAGGAAAAAAAAAAAAAAAAAAAAAAAAAAGGGTTAACAACCTGACAGCATGCACGCTGACGCCAAGATGCTACCTTTCCGGGAGTCTGATAGGCCTCCCACAACCATCAGCAGGTCGGGTCGTTTTGAAAATCAACTTCAAATGACATAGAAGGCTTAATGACTCACCTGGTTAGAGTAAGGTGGCGCAAAGTGCTGAGTGTCAATCTCAGTGAAGCAGCCTCAGTACGGATGGCTCCAACAGAGCACCGCAACAACCCAGGAATCATAACAGCAGCACAGGCCATGGCGCTTCCTGGGAAAACATAAAACTGAAATTTCAAACTGCTGTTTTAAAAAGTGGGGAAATAGCAGACCATTTTAGAAGGTCAGTGAAGAAGAATTTGGATTTCTGTTGGTGCTATTATGAGTCAAGCTACCAGCAAAGCAGCCAAGAGCCTAACTTCACCTTGACAAAATTTCTTCCACTATTTAGAGTTGACTCAAGGTATCTCCACAATTATGTATATAAGTATGTAATTTTTGGTGCTATCAAATATTCGTGTTCTCTATTGCTTTCTAAAATCTCTGACCAAGTTCACAGGACTAATCTTATGCTATTATAGAAGAAGGGAGATTTTGTAACTTCCTGATAATTGTATTCTATCTAAAGAGCACTACATAAGTCTTTTATATTTCTTGTTAGGTAAAGTGTAAGAGGAAGATAAATTTACCGTGGTTCCCAAACAAGAAGCTTAAGGTTCCCAGATATTAAAAAACCAAAACTGATAAAAATAACACTATTCATAATAGCCCAAACTGGAAACTATCCAAATGCCATTACTAAGGGAGATAAGCTAATTGTGATATATTCACACAGTAAGATACACTATAAAGCAATGAAAACAAACTGCAACTACATGCAGTAACATAGATGAATATCACAAATAACATACTGAATGAAAGAAGCCAGACCCCAAAGAACAGATATTCTTTTATTCTAAAGCATATAAAGTATAAAAACAGACAAAATGAATCTATGATGTCAGAAATCAAGTTAGTAATTTCCCTTGGGAGGTGGCAGTGACAATGTTGTTTCTTAATCTGGGTGCAGATTGCATGAGTATTTTCACTTTTTGTAAAACTGATTAAGCTGTCCTCTTAGGATCTGTGTAGTTTTCTGTTTGTACTTGAACTTCAACAAAAAGTTAAACACACACAGTCACACACACACACACACACACACACACACAGATTCTTCAACATTTCAAATTCTAAAAACTACCAGCCTATCAAGAAATGCACTGATTAGGAGTCAGATGATATTTCTTTTTGGTTCCTTTTATATCATTTTCCTACGTCAATTTTTAAACATTTGTCTAAAATGGCCACATTTAATATGTTACATTGCTCTATCTGTCCTTTTCTATCTTAGTTACCTTGAGAATAAATGAAAATGCATGTGAATACTTTTTTCTCTGAGCTTTTTGGGAGGCAGTATATAAATTAATTGTAATAAATTGCTGTTAGCAAAATATTCAAGCTAACTGTTTACATTCCTACTCCATATTCATTAATTTGGTCCTTCATTCAACAAGTATCTATCAAGAGTCCAGTATGTGGCAGGCACTGGCGTAAGCAATGGTGCTGCAGGCATGAAGAAAACAAAAACCTTAGGGAGTGTGCATTCAATAGATGAAGACAGAAAATAAATAAAAATAAATAAATCTGATGGTGATATGTCATATATAGTTTATTCCGTTATACCCCAATCATATTAAAAAGCTCACTGCTTCATAACTAGTCTTTAGATAAATGATATATTTCTTCTTTTCATAGTATGTTGCATCATCATTGTGGATAAGCATGGTACTTACTATTTTTCTCTTTACTAAATGAAAAAAGCAGAAGGCCTCTTCGACCTCATTCAAGACCACTAAATGTAGTTTTTCTCCATTAAATGTTCTAAGTCAATAATGTTACCTTCATCCGTGAAAGAAAGAAGTTGAAACTTACTTTAGAAGTCCACGAGATTTTAGTAGTCATTAAGAATATGGTCAGCTGATTGATAGAATATTTTGGTCCTGCTATTACACTGAGACTTTTGGATGTACAGCAGTTGGAACGTGGACAGTTTTTCCATGCATTAAAATTCTCACAAAGTTCCTGCAAAGGCAACAACAACATATAACAATGTTTTGGGGAACTGATCAAAAGCACTATTACCTCTTAGCTGCCAAAGGAAAGGTTCATTATAATCAGTAGGCATCACCTCACAACAAGCCCACTCTCAATTACCCGCTCTCCATTCATTCTTCCCTCCATGCTTCCATTTTTCTTTTTTGATTATTTATCTTACAGCTTCTTTTGTTCATCTTCCTTGGCCTGTCTTTAACACCTTCTACTTAGGATATCCACCCCAGGAAACAGCAGACCAAAGACTAGAATGACACAGTTATATGTCACTTAAGGCCAAGTTCCCTGATAAAATTTAACCACTATATTGTTAAATATGGAAATACTGTTCTGTTCAATGTTTTAGACGACTATTGCTAAAATAAGTTGCCCTCACAATAGGATACATTGTTTAATGATTATGCTGTTTGAATAGTCTCCTTCTCAACTGAACTGGAAAACAAATGTTAATTTTAAAAGCAGTTCTTGCCGGGCACAGTGGCTCATGCCTGTAATCCCAGCACTTTGGGAGGCTGAGATGGGTAGATCGCCTGAGGTCAGGAGTTCGAAAGCAGCCTGGCCAACACGGTGAAACCCCATCTCTACTAAAAATACAAAAAATTAGCTGGGTATGGTGTCGGGCACCTGTAATCCCAGTTACTAGGGTGGCTGAGGCAGAAGAATCGCTTGAACCCGGGAGGCGGAGGTTGCAGTGAGCCAAGATTGTGCCATTACAATCTAGCCTAGGCAACAAAAGCGAAACTCAGTCTCAAAAAAAAAAAAGCAGTTCTCTTTAAAATCCCGAGTTTATTTTGTAAAAGTAACCATGACCAAGAATGCCACCTACTGGTAAATAAAGGACATTTTAATAAAATTCTGTTCAAAGTGCTTTCCAAAGCTTTATGCCAGTCCTAAAATACAAAAAATTTAAAACCTGCTAATTTTTTGAAATATGTCCAGTGGTTTCATACTGTAAGTATTTAATCAACCACAGCAGATCAATATATATCAAGTTATTTCTAAAACCACATAAAGAAGAACATCCCATCAATGTCTGTATCCTCACAGGTCTTCCCTTACCAAGAAATCTTAACTAATTTTATTTCTGAAATGCAGAAAATTATAATAAATGCTAAATAAAACTGACACTCACTAAATACGTAGTAAAACAAACTTCTGTAAGCAACAGATTAAATTTAACATTTAAGATTAATTACATGGTTTCAGTTCAACAGGTATACTGAGTTCATTCAACAATTACTGGGGTGCCAGGCACTATTTTAGGCCTTGAAGATATAATAAAGAACTAGACACAAGGCCCTTGCCATCATGAAGCAGAGACACATAGCAGTAAACAAATGATTAACAAGATAATTATAGATTATGGTGAGTATGATAAAGGAAGTAAGAGTGATGGGGTAGGTGGGGGAAATATTAAGAAAGATATCTCTCCAGGGATGACACCTTGGCTGAGACCTGAATGATGAGGAAACGGCAGCCAAGCAAATGTTAAAGGCAGATCACTCTGGCAGAAGGACTAGCAAGAGCAAAGGTCCTAATGCAGAAATAAGTCCGGCATGTGAAGAGGAACCAAGGCCAGTATGACTGGAGAGCAGTAAGCTGGTAAGAGTGAAATGAGATGAAGTCCAGCAGCCTATAGTAAGGGTAGGAATTTTATCCTAAGGGTAACGGGAAGCAACTGCAAAGTCTGAATCAATCAGGAGAAGGACAAGACCTAATTTATATTTTTAAAGGACTGCTCAAGTTGCTGTGGGAAGGATAATAGAGAGGAGCAGGAGTGGAAGTAGGAAGTCCAGTTAAAAGACTCGGGTCTAAGATTATAATAAGGTAACAGCTACAGAGATGGCAGAAGTAGATGAACATGACATATATTTTGGAATTAGAGCCCCAAAACTTGCTGATACATTAGGCAGGGTGTGAGAGGACACTGACAGAGAAAAGCCAAGAATGCCTCAACAAGCACAAATGCACTGAAGTTAAGTAAGTTCAAAGAACAATCATGACATCTGCCAATTTAGAATCAGGTGTCACTGAGAAAGAAAAGGGGCTCCTCTTGGTAAACAAGTAGTATACACAGAGCATTTGACTTGAAATCAGCAGAACTGGGCTCAGGTGTGACTCCTTCCTGCTTTCTAATCTTCAGCAATTTTAGCCATTTTAACATTACCCATGGCACCTCACTGGATTACTGAGAGGAATAAATAAAACGTCTACCGAAGTACCTGGCAAGCAAGAGTGTTACTAAAATCAGTCCTAATACACTGACCCCTTCTCTTCCTTGTCAAACAATCTAGAGAGGTGGAGGTTTGGTATTGCCAATAAACAACTCCCTCTGGCCTGATATACAACAGCACTCATCAAATACACTTTGCATTATACAATTATGACTTACTTTTTTTTTTTTTTTGAGATGGAATCTAGCTCTGTCACCCAGGTTAGAGTGCAGTGGCACCATCTAGGCTCACTGCAACCTCCGCCTCCCAGGTTCCAGTGATTCTCCCACCTCAGCCTCCCAAGTAGCTGGGATTACAGGCACGTGCCACCACACCTGGCTAATTTTTGTATTTTTAGTAGAGACCGGGTTTCATCATTGGTCAGGCTGGTCTCAAACTCCTGACCTCATGATCTGTCCACCTCAGTTTTCTAAATCTGAACTTAGGCTAAGAACCCTAGGCATTGTCGTTTCCTGGATAAGCAGTGTTAGTTAACATTTATGATAAATAAACTTGTGATCTCAAATTACTATAGCAACTAATAAATCTGCTTATGTTACACTCTCAGGGTCAAAAAGGGTGTCATTACAAAATATTTCCATCCTTTTAGGAATAAATGTAAAGTTTAGTAGTCATTGTAATGTTTTCTTTAAAAGTGCTGGGTGGAGTAAAATAAACTACATTACATGCTTGGATATGGTTTTACTTTCTTCAGCACAGGACAAGCTCAAATTGGGCAGAACGTTAAGAGCAGCCATCTCTGACCAGACAGTGGGGACGATCAATGGATGCCACGATGAAAACATATGGAAAGCCATAGAGAACCTCCTCTCCCCAAATCTAGTTCTCATGGGACCAAGCACTGCTTAGAGGAAGATCTCAGCAGTCTGCAGAGCTGCAGTGCTGCTTTTTAAATCTAGCTCTGCTTGAAGTACCATCACATCAAAAATGACATTACTGTTAATTAAAAGCCTAGATTCTAGGGTCAGATAGATTTGAGTTCTCATCATAGCTTATTGCCATTTACCAGCTTTGCCTTAGGCAAGTTCCTCAGCCCCTAAGCCTCCTGCTTCTCAATGTTAAAGAAGGGGGTAATGATACTTATACCTCACTGGGTTGTTTTAATGACATAATACACATAAGGATTTGGTCACAGTGTATGACCAACACAGAGTCAACTATTAATAATAAGTAGCTCATTCGTTTTTTCCACTTTAGGTAACATGCATTCAAAGAAAAGTTGGAACATTACAAAGAAAAACTACCCAACAACCCCTATAACTTTTAGGACTACTAACTTCAGATTTTAAAATTCCTGAGCAAATTCTTTTTGATAGATGCGAAATGCTTTCTAAAAGATCTACCAATTTATACCTCCCATGAGCCAAATATGACTACACCCATTCCTCAACATATAAAAATGGCTCATAATGAATTTTCAAGTACTTACACTCAGAAGAACTAAAGAAGTAAAGACGGCTCCCAACCTCAAAATGATCAAAGGGACTGCATAACAGACACGGAGAATCTCCCGTTTTTTCCTGTCTCCAAGAGGCTCGTGGTAAGTATTTGTGTCAACAGTGGAGCAGCCTCCAAGCTGTGTGGGCTTTGCTGGGATGTCTCCTTTGCCCAGACAGACCAGAATCATCACAGTTAATCTTTGACAAGTTTTAACAAATGTTTCCTAACTGCTGGGTAAATCTATAATTACGCAAAATTCAGCGTTTGTGAGGCCTTTGAAATAATCCTCCATAAACTCCTGTAATATAGCTTCTGGATTTTCCCCCAAAAACTCCTCTGCCTTTAAGTTTTCAAGCTTTAAAAGGGCTACATTGAGTGGAGCTTCATCTAAGTGTGCACAAAATTGGTAACTTTATGCCAACATATGAGTGTGTAAATATAAGCACAGGGATATGTTATGTAAATATAAACTAAATGTTATATATCGTTGCTGAACCAAGTAAAACTCACAATTTCCATGCAAAAGTGCAACGTTACATCTAAAAAGGATCTTATATTATCTCTACTCCAATCCTTTCTTAGAAGAGGAAATAAGGCCCAAAGAATATAAATTCCCACTTGCCAGAGCAAATCAACAACTGAAGATTCCGATCCCAGATCTTCTCTCAAAAGCGCTTTTTTTTTTTTTCACTACAATGCATTTCTTCTCTATTAAGATATTAAAATGCCCAGTAATTGAGTAAGACCCAGTGGACTCGGTTTTACCAAAACAGGCACTAGCACTGCTTTTAAGACAAAAATGCCTTTTATCTGCATTTCGCTTCAAGGCATACGTAGGCCTCACACTGATAAATCTGCCTACTGACACCATTTCCTTCGCAAAGAAAAAACTGGTACTCACATAAGTAATTTGTCCCTGGGCCTTGGAGACAGAAAAGCTCTTCATTATTTTCCAGGTGCATGATTTTAGTCAAGATGCCCAACTCTCTGTACCTCAGTTTAAAGACTAATAAAATGGAATAACACGTAAACTCCTAGAGCTGACAATTCCACTTAGTGCAAGAGCTGGCACATAACTCCCCAATAATAAAAGCTGATGTTATTACTATTACTACAAATCATCGTAGTTAATAATGTTATATGTCTGGCAAACAGAAGACTAAAACTCAATCCCTGCCTTCCAGGGCTTGGTCCTTTCAGCAACACAATTTAGGATATTTTAAGACTTCTGGGGTGAGAAAGACGCGGAATGTACCTGCAGCCAGGAACTAACAAGCTGACCGTCCGTCGCCCTGGGCTCAAGGTCACTCGGTGAAGCGAAATTCCACGGAACTGTTCGTCCGTCACCAGGAAGGGAGGTCAAGGAGGCTAAGGTGCTCTCGCCTCCCCACTCCGCCTTTCCCGAGGGCCGGTAGGATGCTACCTAGCACCTGCTGCAGCCTTCAGCGGGCTGTTTAAGGCGTTAAAGCAGGCGACAAGAAACAGGGAAACTTTCCCCGCTGGTGTTGCTTGCAGACCCGGCCACGTTTAGCTGCCGGCACCTGGGATACTCCGCGGTCCCAGACATGACGCAGCAGCGCGGGCGAGCCCCACATTCTATTGGTCACTGCCATCCAATAGGAGGAGCGGTGCGCGACCCCGCTGAGCAAGACGCGCCGTCTTCCCAGTGTCTCCGCCCCTAGCTCAGCCGTCTCCGCCCCTAGCTCAGCCATCTCCATGGTGACCGCTAACGGTTATCCGTTTGGCCGCGCAGGCAGGAGTTGCGTCATTGCCCATGCGCCGGAAGCGCTGGTCCTTGCCCGGCGCGACCTGATGATGCCGAGCCTAGGCCGGTTCCGGCCAAGTTAGATCGTCGGAGCTGGTCTCGGACTGCCGGGGCGTCACCCAATCGGCGACCCCCGCTGACCATGGCAGTGTTTCATGACGAGGTGGAAATCGAGGACTTCCAATATGACGAGGACTCGGAGACGTATTTCTATCCCTGCCCATGTGGAGATAACTTCTCCATCACCAAGGTAACTTCAGGGTCCCGCCCGGCGGTTCACCCAAGCAAGCGCAGTTTGGCTCCGCCGTGTTCCTTCCGTCATTGGGTAGCCTTTGCTGCGCTGTGTCACCCACGTCCTTTTTCCCGTTGCTGAATCTTCCTCCTCCCGCATCCCCCCACCCGAACTAATACCCTGAGCTCTCTCGGTAGGCACGTAGTTCTGGTCTTAGATTAGGCCAGGGAGAGGGCGGCGGGGAGCCTCTGTCTCTGCCCGATCGCTACCTTACAGTACCAGCCTGGGATATTTCTGTCGAGGAGGGGACTCGTTTTTTGTTTCCCAGGGCTTTTGGGGCGACTGAAACTCGCCTAACTTTCCTAGGTGTTTCTAGGGGAAAATGATGTCGGCATTTCCTGGTGAAGGCCCTGGGGTTCTCACCCACCTTGCGGGGAAGGCAAGCCACCAAGAGACTTGCATCTAGGGGTGGGATAGGTTTGGGGGAGGATATGGCGAAGAGAAGACTATGCTGACCACATGGTGTTTGATTTCGTTGTAGGAAGATTTGGAGAATGGGGAAGACGTTGCAACGTGTCCTAGCTGCTCTCTCATTATAAAAGTGATTTATGACAAAGTAAGGGATATAATTTTTAAAACGGGGGAAGGGTGTTATAAGGCAGTGGCAAGGACTTAGATCAGCCTGTCAGTGATGAGAGCAGGAGAATGTTTCATTGTGTTAGGTAAAGTGCAGTATTTAGGCAGGTTTTAAACACCATTGATAAACAGCCGAATAGTAAATTAAAATGTTTAAAGTTCAGATTACATAATTTATTTTAGTTTTAGAGATAAATCTAGCTTTAGTGAAAATTATTATTTATTAAATAGAAGAAAGTATATAGATTATTTTAATGGACAATTTTTATATTTCTCTTCTATTTAATATGTAATTAAAATTGTTTAGAGCTCCTAGACTTACTTTGAAGGCAACAATTGTATGGTATTTCATGCCTGGCTTATACATAGAATTCTGCATTATCTTGTTTGAGATATAATTCCTAGATGCAGCTTTACAATTTCATTTTAGTCTTTAGTTGCCCTATTGTCTTTCACCCAAGGATGTTGACAATAGAAAAAAAAAAGTGTTATTACTGCCCACTCCTGCCCAAAGTTTAGTTCAGTACTTGGAATGAAATTTAGGTAAGGAGCTTAACACTCTGAAGAATGTACTCAAAAATGAATATAGGGAAAGAGGGGATAAGGCACAGAGCCTCATTAGAGAAGTGGGCTATAATTTAGACTATAATTTAGAAATATAATTATTCATTCTTGTATTAAAATATGCTCTGCTACAGAAAGCAAACAGGGTAAGGAAGATCAGGAGTGCTGGTCTGGGAGGAGGTTGCAGTTTTCCATAGGGTGATCATGGCAGGCCTTACTGAGAAAGGCCTTATTAAGTAAAGATTTGAAGGAGGCAAGGAAGTGAGCCGTGTACATATGAGGGTATGGGTTAAGAGAGTCGAGCAAAAGATCGTTCAGTGAAGGGGACCCAAGACAGGAACATGCCTGATTTTATCAGGGAACAAAGAGGAGGCCAGTGTGACCAGAGCAGAGCAGGATGAGAATAGTCCAAGATGAAGTCGTGGATCACTTTAAGGATTTAGGCTCTTGTTGTAAGTGATATAGGGAACCATTGGGGGATTTTCAAACATAGGAGTGCTATGATCCAACTTAAGTTTTTTTAAAAAAATGATTCTGGCTGCTGTGTTCACAGTAGCCTATAGAGAGCAAGCATAGAAACAGGAAAACCAGTTAGGAGGCTGTTACACTAATTAAAGAAGGAGGTGGGTGGCTTGGACCTGGTTACAGCAATGGAAGTAATGAGAAGTACTTAGATTCCGGATACGCTTTGAATGACTGATTTGTATAGGGTGTGAAGGAGTGAGTCAAGGATGATTTCAATATTTTTTACCTTAATAACTGGGTGGATGGAGTTACTGTCAATTGAGGGAATGTAACTATAGGTATAGGGGTTGAAATTGTACATAGTAAGTTTGAGAGGTCTGTCATCCAAGTTGAGCTGTTTAGAAGGCAATTGGATATATATGTCTGGAGTTCATGAGAGAGATTGGCTAGCAATGTCAGTTTTGGAGTTATCAGTGACAGACAGCATTTAGAGCCATGAAATTGGATGAGATCACCAGGTCTGTGAATGTAGAGATGGATAAAATACAGGACTGAGCATTAAGGCACTCCAGTATTAAAAAGTCAGGGAGGGAAGTGAGGAATCACCAAAGCTGATGGTAAAAGAGCAACCACTGAGAAAGGAGGAAAATCAGCAGCGTCAAATCCTAGAAACCAGATGAGAAAGGGTCGAGGAAGTGGTGATCCTTGTCATGTGACACTGATAAACCATTAGCTTTAGTAACACTGAGTTTATTTGTGACGGTGACGAGAGCAGTTTCCATGGAGTAACAGGAACAGCGCATGATTGAAGAAACCAACGGGCAGAAAACTGGTTGGAGAGAATGAGAGAACGGAAGGCAGTGAGTATAGGCATTTCTTTTAAGGAGTTTGCTGCAAAGGAGAGCAGAGACATGTGACAGTGACCAGTGGTGATAGAGGATCAAGAGAGTGTTTAAAGTGGTAGAAATTCAGCCTTCATAAGTGAATCTAGACACAGAAAGTTAGATTTAACCAGGTTGATGGTTTTCCCAAGTGAATAGTAAGGAGTGAGAGAAGAGTTGTTATAACCAACTGTGGAGTGTGAACTATGTAAAGAGAACATGAAGGGAGTGAGGGGCAGTGAAAGGATGGTAGGATGAATACGGTGGAGGTCCAGAGGAGTTGAAATATGGCATCCAGGGTGGATAAATGACAGCAACAGAGAAGAATAGCAATGCGGTAGTCTCAAGACATAAGATTCTAAACTGATAGGTTTTAGACAGGAAAGGAGAAGGGTGGCAAAAAGGAGGAACTAGCCCCATTTCCAATCCCTCTCGTACTAGGACCCTGAGAACACAGAGCCTCCACTAGACAGGCCTATAGGGGAAACTGTCCTTAAGAATATGACTTCATCTCAGCCTCAACACTATTGACATTTTAGACCTGATAATTATTTGTTGTCCAGAGATATCTCGCACATTATAGGATGTCTAGCAGGATCCCTGGCCTCTACCTATTAGATGCCAATAGCAATCCTCAGTTGTTTCCATTCAAACTGTTTCCAGATATTACCAATGCTTTTGGGGGTAAAAGGATATTTTGATGAAGAGGTTGAGAATGTGGAGCATTGTGCTAACAATGGACCATGAATTCCAAAGGGCACAGTGAAAGGGTTCCAAATATTGGACAACAGAGTAGCAGGGACAGAGTAAGGGCTGATCCTTCAGGAATCAGATTGCTGGAGGTGAGGGATAACCTTGGAAGCAGAGATTTTTTGTGGTAGCTGACATAGCCAGGATAAATGATCAGAGATTGAACTTCATTTACAAAGTAGCTAACGTTGCAGATTATCCATGTTGGGAAACACATAAAGACCCGTCCCTTTTAGTTAGAAGAAGTAATTACTTTGAAGAGGACTGGTATTTGAATGACCGAATATTAAAGTGGAGAAGTTTTAGTGTAAGTAGTAATACAGAAATTTAAAAGATGTGGCATATCTTTATGTGATTTCTGAGAAGTGGTTGCTCTGAACTGAAGATGGGGATATTTGTTTATAAGATGCTTTATATTAAATAATGAATTCAGAATCAAAAATTGATACATGTTTAAGATTCTAATTCTAGTGCTGTCATTGGCTCTTTGACCAATGAAATGATAATAGCAATGGAAAAACAAAATTAACAGAGCTGGATTGATTCTGTAACAAAATGAAGGTTTAATGTTAATGCATTTGTGACACGGAAATTTATTGGTTAATGTCATTTCTCACTCTGTCTTAGGATCAGTTTGTGTGTGGAGAAACAGTCCCAGTCCCTTCAGCCAACAAAGAATTAGTTAAATGCTGAAGAAGCCTTCAGGAATCCAAATCCTGAACAGTTGGAAATGAGCCCAGATAGAAATATCAAATGCAGAGCTACTGGCTTCACTGAGACAACCATTTGTGATTTGCCGTTCTGTGAGAGTGTGGATTCTTTCCATCAACTGCTGATTTCATCTTCAGGAAGCAAGTCCATAACATGACATATCTGGATTTTGTGCTAAGAACCTTAAATTGGAAGCATTCTTAATTATCCATCTAAATTTAAAAGAAGATAATTTCAAAACAGTGCTTTCTTTCCCTTGGTTTCATCATTTTCATATTTTAAACCAAATTCCTTCAGTATCTGATAACAGCATCATCTACCTCAGTCATTAGGATTTCTTAATAAAAAAGAGATTGTATTTTTGACTTGGTTATTAAGATAATTAAAATGAGCCCTTCATTTGAAATTTGACATCAGCTTTGCTGTTCTAAATTTAAAATTAGTTGCTTCATCAGTAGCACACTTCCAGTTTCTATACCAAGCCGGTCTCCTCAGTTTTCCCATTAGGATGGACATGTTCTGTTCAGCGTGTCATTTCTATAATGCTTCATGCAGAGAATTCGGTCATAGTGTTAAAGAGAAGATACAGTGAGGTCACAATGTCTCCAGAGCTAAAAGTTAGTGAACAAGAAAGTAAGTCTAAATTGATGAAAGAATGAGGAGTTTTCTTATCTTCTGCAT